GCCATATATATATGGAAAAAAATGTCGCATTGTTACAGACCATTGTCCTATAAAATATCTTAATAGTAAATATAAAGGCAAAGAATGTTCCCCTCGTCATCAACGATGGCTTTTACAGCTACAAGAATTTAATTACGAAATTGAGTATTTAAATGGCAAAGAAAATAAGGTGGCAGACTTTCCAAGTCATTTAGAAAATTCTCCAAAAATAAACGATACTAATTCTAATGAATCGAATTTCGAAATATCAGAAACTATTCATTCAGCAGCAGAAGAGCTTTAAGAGCATATTATTATAAAAGAGGAAATAGTAAATAAATACAAAATTCAAACAATATTAACATTTAGTCCTTCATTTAAAGTAAAAGTAGTGCATAATAGAAAAATAATTCAAATAAATCCACTTGAAAATGAAACAATCATTAGAAATATTTTGAAGAGTAATATTAAAATGGGTAGAATAGGATTTTTTTCTGAACTATCAGATAAAGATTATCATAATATATAACAAATATTAATTTCTATGTTTTCACATGATAATAAAATCAATTTTGTTAAATGTACCCAAAAAGTAACTGAAATAGAAAATGAAGAAATACTTCACAAACAAATAGCCTTATACCATAACAATGAGTCTATTCACAGTGGTATCAATAAAACATATCATACGTTAAAAAACAAAATTTACTTTCCAAAATTAAAAGAACATATACAACTTATTATTAATGTCAACAAATTAAATATTCAAGAAAACTGATTAGACCACTATTTCATTTTACTGAAACGGCAACGAAAAAAAATCAAATTATCCATATAGATACATATATTCCATTTTAAAAAGTTATCGTTTGTTACGTTTATTGATAAGCTTACAAAATTCGCTTCAGCTTACACCATTACTGATCGAAATTGGCGCTCAAAGAAAGCGATTATAATAGAACAATTCACGAAATTCGGTAAACCCAGTAAAGTTATAATGGACAAAGAGTTTAGGCCTGAACAACTTATTGAGTATTTTAAAAAGGAAGGTATTGAGATCCATTTAACGAAGCCTAACAGCCATACCGGTAAAGAGGACATTGAGAGGCTGCACTCAAYCCTGTTAGAAAAGCTAACGGGAATTGGTGACCCAAGTCTCTCAACCGAAATGCGGATGCAGCTAGCCATGGGTAATTACAATGACCGATTCCATTCCACTATGAAGAATGGCTCAAAATAATATTGATCCAAAAATCTTGCATGATAATATAAACAAAGTAAAACAAAGTGTAATAAATAAAAGAAATAAAGCCAGAGAAGACTATAAGGAAGGTAGAGAAATAGGACCAATTAATAATTATAAAAGAGTGCGGCACAAAGACAAACCTTACTTTAGAATAAACCCACTAAGCCATTTATTTAATATAAAAAGGCCTTTAAAACATGCAAAAAATGAAAGTCCAGATACTAATGGCTCTATTGTTGATGACAATTCAAGCATAATAGCACTAGCAGGAGACATGGACGTAAGGCTACGAGTTAAAAAAAAAAAAAAAAAAAAATTACATTTTTAATATGAAAACCCTACATATATTTTACCTTCCATTCACTTACACCAATATCATTTAAATATTAGATAAGTTAAGTTATTTACATTTGGATATAATTTTCAAATTGTTCTTTATTTTAAGCTTAATCGAAAAATTAATACATAATCAAAATAGTTAGTAAACTTAGCTTAAGAAATATAAATAAATAAATAAAAAGAATATGGGGTAGACTGGTAGACTGACCCCCTCCGGGAGTACTGCGTCGAATACTTTCAGAGCTGGAGTGTTATCGTGCATTCGGACAACGTGACCTAGCCGGAGTAGCCGCTATCTCATAATTCGCTAAACTATGTCAATGTCGTCGTATAACTCATACAGCTCATCGTTCAATCGAATGCGATATTTGCCGTGGCCAGCGCGTAAAGGACCATCTTTCACAGAATTTGTCTCTTGAAAACTCGCAACGTCACCTCATCGTCCAAGCCTCTATACAATGGTTTTTGTTCGTCGAGAAAGGACGTTACTTCTCAATTGTGTCAATTATCCTGTGTTCGATTTCCAGACCGCCATTGTTGGTGGTGTTTACACTGGTTCCAAGATAGACGAAATTATCTACGACTTCAAAGTTATGACTGTCTACAGTGACGTGAGAGCCAAGTCGCGAGTGCGACGATTGTTTGTTTGATTACAGGAGATATTTCGTCTTGCCAGACCCATTTACTTTGCTTCCTCGTCTAGTCTGGAGAAAGCAGAACTATCATCGACATACGCCAGCAAGTGTACTCTTATAAAAGATTTTACCTGTACGATTCAGTTCTGCAGCTCAAATTATTTTCTCCAGTAGCAGATGGAAGAAATCGCACGACAGAGAGTCGCCTTGTCTGAAACGTCAGTTTACACAGCCGTATTACTTTTGCGGGGATACCAAACTCAGACACCTCGGCATAAAGGCAGCTCCTTTTCGTGCCGTCGAAAGCAGCTTTGAAAGGAAGAGTTGATGTGTATCGATTCTCCTTTCACGGGTCTTTTCCAAAATTTGGCGTATGGTGAATATCTGGTCGGTTGTTAATTTACCAGGACTAAAGCCACACTGATAAGGTCCAATCAGTTTGTTGACGGTGCGCTTTAATCTTTCATACAATACGCTCGATAGAACTTTAAACGCGATGTTACGGAAGCTTAGCCCACGATAATTAGCGCAGATTGTGGGGCCTCCCTTTTCGTGGATTGGGCAGAGCCCACTTAAATTCCAATCGTTGGGCATCACGTCACAGCATGATTGATCTAGTTGGTGGTTTTTCGATCCGGAGACAGCCAGCTGGCTTGATGAATTTTCTTATGCTGGAATCTAGTTCTACAGATAACCATATTTGGGGCCTCGGCGAAGTGGATCAGCCTCAACCCATTTGGGGATATTTCCTCGTGGTGGCTGAATTTACCGAATATAGTGCCAAAGATACCTTCTTTGCCCACCCTGGTGTTAAAGTCGATTTCATGCCGGGGGCAGCTCTCATAGGTACGCTCCGAGCGCTCATAGAAGGAATCTTTGGTCACATCGTCCTTCTCTTCCAACGGGACATGGGCGCAGATCAGCGATATGTTGAAGAACTTCGCTTTAATGCGGATTGTGCGAAGTCTCTCTTCCACCAGGAATCCCACAGAAATTTGCGCTCCTTTATATGGCCACTGTGCTAAATGCCAGAGGGACCTACTCGTCTTAGTCCTTGTCCCGTCCATCGCATTTTCGGGACAGCGGTGATGTCAGCCTTCACTCTAACGAGGACATAAACCAGCTGGGCGGCAGTACCTTCCCAATTAAGGGACCGGATATACCAGGTGCATGCCCTCAATTCGTATGCCATGGTCGTCATCAAAAGGAGGTTATCTTAGCCGAGGCTTGTTGTTCTTTTTCATTGGTGCTATTTTTTACGTCGAGGGGATTTTTCCTCTTCTTACTTTAACTCGCCTTCAAACGGATGTTCCTAGGATACCAATAAGATAATTAGTCGTGAGCCATATGTAAAAGAATCGTTTCTGACCACACCCAAGTGAATGGCGATCAGAGAACTCTCTTCACTTGCGTGAACTTGTTCACATGACTCCATCCTCCAAGAAGAAGTACCCTGGATACAAAAAAGGGCTTGATATATTGTGCTACAAACTTCTTAAAAATATGAAGTAGGCCGCGTCCTTGCCAAGTATGTACCCTTATTGTAAACTTTGTGTGAATAAATTAATCCGTTTCACGAATTTCGTGTGAATGTTCAAATTTCGGTTATGTATTTGTGAACTTGGGAGATTTTTGCCATGTGAAGTTCCCGATAAGTAATTTTTAAGTTTGTGAGTTCTGAAAATTAAACTCATCATCATAATCATTGTTTAAAGGTATACTCGATATATTGGGGAGCACTTACCACTGCGTTAAATTAATTAAAAACATTCAGTTTATTTTTTATAAATTTGGGTTTTCAACAATTTTAACTAAATTTAAGATTTCTGATTTTATCATATAAACTCATTAAATATGATATCGACGGGCCCTCGCCGGCGACACTCCAATTAYGAGAACGATTTGTCACTGCTAGCGATTGAGTTGACACGGATCGTGGTTGAATTTTTTAATTAATGTGTCGTGAGGTATCGACGCGGCGGAGTGTATATGCGAAAGTTGATGGTTTAAACGTATGTGTCGAATGAATTGCTTAGAACCAATTGTGCCAATTGTGCCTCCTATCCTATTATCTATCCTTTTTATTTAGTGGGTAGGGGTACAGGTATGGTGAGTTGTGTTGTAGCGTCATCAGCTGTAGTGAATTGCGCTGTTGTATTAGAATGCGTCAGTTTAACCGGGTAGAGTGGGTGGATGCTAAACTTATTTAAACGGAAAGCATGGTTTCATAGTCGTTAACGCGAAGCTCTTTTTCAAAAATATTTAGCGATTTCGGAATCAATCATGCCTTCATTTTTCTTAGGCCAACGATATCAGTAAGATCTTTGACTGTTAATCGTTGATTCTCAAGCACCAATTTCGTTATTTTATTGACGTGTTGATTATCAGTTAATGTTGGTGACCGTCCTAGACGTCGTTCGTCTTCAACACATTTTCGATCCCCTTTGAATAATTTGTAATTAAAATTACTTGCTTAAAACAAACAATTAACACCTTTCGGAACATTCTGAACGCTTAGGCGCCAGAAATTTGCTTCCGCACACAAAGTTTAAAGGAACTTTTTTGTTCACTCATCGAATAAATCGCCGAATGCAATTTTTGTACTTCAGAAAGACATTAAACACTAATAATAATTTTATTGTGACATTTAACGACATTTTGTTTACATGCCCATAATATCTATTAATTTGGTATTGAAAATTTTGTGATCAGACTTACACTAACCAGGTAAAAAAAATTAAAATTGAAAATATTTAAAGAAGTGTGCATTACGAAGTAAAAACTATATTTTGCAAATTTACCTGTGTAAAATGTCTCTCTATGAAATAGTTGGCTTTCTTCTGAAGGTCTGAACACCCATGCTGTTCTGCGAAACTGGCTATACCAATAGCATTGGTTGGATCCAATTGTCTTTCTAAGAAAGCACAACATGCGTTTATAACGTTGGGCACTTGAAACATTGTTGCCGCAGGTAGCAACTGACAGACTGTGACTTCTGTTACTCGTATATGTCCTGTATACATAAAATAAATTATCCTGCCCATGGCGGTGGGACAGACCTAGCACACAAGAGAAAATTTTAATTATAATTTTTAGTAGCATATAAAATCCTAAGCATACTCCTTGTAGTTGAACACGTGACATTTCTGATTCTTTTAAACCTCCTGTAAACATAGCTTTAAAATAAGGTGATGCTGCCGACAAAACCACTTTATGTGCTGGAAATAATTCTTGTTTTACCTCCAATACAACATCTGTAAGCATATTGTGAGATCTCATCATAAACATCATCTTTAAAACTTCTTTGGCGTAATTAGACATGCAGAAGGTCATATCATCATCACGATCATCCACATCTTCCGTTTCTGTTACAGGTGAACTATATGAATAAGGCTTTCGGAATATAAAGTCAGAATTTGGACAATTACTCATAGAGTTGCTACAGTTGCTCATATTAAAATCTGAAATTTAAATCAATAAACTTAAGTCTTGTTTATAAAAAATTTTTTTCATACTATCATTTTAAAAGTAATTGATACATATTCCTCATATATTTATGCATATGTAACTAAAATTATTATTAGAAATTATTTCTCACTTTTTATTTTGATGTATTTAGTGTTATGTAGCATACTGTTTGTACTTTCTTTGAGAATGTGCTTCAGCTAGGTATTAATTATGTACAATTTCGTATCGGGCGAAAAGGGCTATAAATATGTCCAACAAATGTTCTTAAATAAATCATAATGCGCATCGATATTATTTAAATTTGTGTCTAAAGTTTCTATGATATTACAAAAAGTTCTAAATTTATATTTACAATCTTTTATACTTTTTGTAAATATTGTTAAATTATACTTGTGTATAATAAATAAGCCAAGGTAATGTATCAGTATATCTCAATCGCAGGCGGCATTTCATGGAAGTAACGCCGAGAAAAATACATACATACAAGCTCGCGCATTCCTGTCTTTCTGCAGAGAAGCAAAMAAATTGCATGGGTAAATAGAAGGAGAAATCAGATTAGAGAAATTGAAGGATTCCTCCTGGAATTATCCACACTTGCAAGAGAATCGTCAGCAAGATATACGGCTGTCATAAAACTTATACTTATATATTGAACACTGGTATGGTGGTCAGAGCTAAAGAAACAATACATCAGAAAATTAAATGGAGGACCAAAAGCAGCATGTGCAGGTGTTACTGATGAAATCAAGTCATGTTCGATTGACGCGCTTACCAGCTACCTGTTGACATCTATATTCACCAAATAGTAGCATGTTCTTAGAATAAGAATAAAAGATTTGGGAGGTTGGAATCAGAAGAACTATGGACATAATGATATCATAAACCAACTCAGTGTAAACGTCAATAAATCAGACTACATTCTTCCATAGCTGGATTTCAATAGACGTTTCCATGTGAGGATACCCTCTAGACGTGAACGGAGAAAGGGTATAAAAGGGAAGGAAGATATCATCTCACTTTATACCAACAGATCCAAAATGAACTGCGGGGATAGGCTTTCTACAATACGCTTTATAAGAGCTTTCCGAACCATATCAAATGACGCTGCTGRGGTGTTAGCTAGTATGGCACCGATTGACATCGCGCGAATTMGCGCGAATATATAACCTACAAGAGACGTTTAAGGCACCAAAAAAGAAGAGAGAATTAAAAACTTCATCCAAAGGACGATGGACTCACAGACTCATTCGGACATACATTCGTCGTTAGATAGACAACATGGGGACCTAGATTTCCACCTGACCCAAAAAACCCAGTGGCCGTGGATGTTTTAGAAGCTACCTATTCAAATATCGGCATGACTTTAGTCCATGTTGTGTACAGAGTGTATAGAAAACTATTAATACGTACTCTTTCATTGCCCTAGGTTTTCAATTATAAGGGAAAAGCTGAAAACCACACTAGGAGGTAGTCTGATGGTGGAAATTTTGACTACACTTATGAGCGAGTCCTTTGTAAATTGGAAAGCTCTCAGCGAAGGCGTCAGTCAGTCCGTACAATAGAGGAGAAGTATTGGTCCGATTCAACCAACGATTCCTTTTTGACGTAACATTAAAAGAGAAGGATTATCCCTTAATTTCAGTTATATACATATATCACATATTGACAGACATTTTCGATCAAAAGTCAACAATAGGTACCGAATCTTTGGTGTAAGAGAAGTAGGCGTGTTTGTTAACCATTTTTACAATATGACGTAAGAATTTAAGAAGAATGCCTTGTAATAACTTTGGTCGAAATTGGTCGGTCGGATCTCGAGATATGGAATTTCACTCAAAAGTGGAGAGTGCCGCGCATATAGTAAAATTTTTCACACCAGCTCATATAAAGCTCTCTCATACCTTCTCGGTGGTGGAACGTGCTACTAAGAAACCTGCTTACGAAGTTTCATCAAGATATCTCAATTTTTATTCAAATTACAGTTTGCACCGATGGACGGACGGACAGACAGACAGTCAACTGAATTTCAACTTTCCTCGTTACGCTGGTTATTTATATATATGTATACAGCCCTGACAGACGACAGCGCTAATATGCATTACCGGGCTAAATTTACATTTACTTGCTCATTTGACCCATGTTAATGCAACTTTGTAATGCACAAGAATTTCGTGCATTTAGCTGAATTTATGGAGTCATGTGTAGAAGTTCACGCAAGTGAGGAAAGTTCTCTTACCGCCATTCACTTGGGAGTGGCCAGAAACGATTCTTTTACATATGAGTCAAGCAGCTCACGACTTCCGGTCCTTGACCAAGTATCCTCTGGGTAGCCTAAGAACATCCGTTTGAAGGCGAACTAGAGTGAGAAGGCGAAACATTCCCTGCATAGGGTTGTGCGCTGGGTTTGGGACCCGCCACGTAAAAAAAACCACCCCAATGAAAACGCAACAACAGCCTCGGATGAGAGACCCCACTTTTGATGACGACCATGGCAAATGAAATAAGGACTACGAATTGAGGGCATGCACCTGGAATGTCCGGTCCCTAATTGGGAAGGTGCCGCTGCCCAGCTGGTTGATGTCCTCGTAAAAATAAAGGCTGASACCACCGCCGTCCAAGATATGCGATGGACGGGACAARGACAGAGACGAGTAGATCCTTATGGCATTTACTGCAGTGGTCATATAAAGGAGCGCAAGTTTGGTGTGGGATTTGTGGTGGGAGAGAGACTCCCAGACGTCTAGCCACAATCCGCATCAAAGCGAGGTTTTTCAACATATCGCTTCGCCCACGCCCCGACGGAAGAGAAGGACGATGTGACCAAAGATGCCTTTTATGAGTGCTTGGAAAGCACTTATGAGAGCTGCCCCCGCCACGATGTTAAAATCGTGCTTGACGACTTTAACGCCAGGGTGGGCAAAGAAGGTATATTTGGCACTACGGTCGGTAAATTCAGCCTCCCCGAGGAAACATCCCCAAATGGGTTGAGGCTGATCGACTTCGCCGGGGCCCGAAATATGGTTATCTGTAGTACTAGATTTCAGCATAAGAAGATACATCAAGCTACCTGGCTGTCACCGGATCGAAAAACCACCAACCAGATCCATCATGTTGTGATAGACGGATAGACGGTTGTGCGTGCGCTCCGAGGTCCTAAAATCTACTCGGACCATTATCTTGTTGCAGCCAAGATTCACAGCAAACACAAGGAAGGTTCGACGTCGAGAAGCTGCAATCACAACAGACAGCCGAACGACTTTACTCGGCTTGCACTCCTGCTCTCTGAGAGCACTCGTCAACAACTCGGTATAAGGGAACTGTGGGACGACATTTCAAACTCCTTACATACAGCTGCAATCGAAACCAATGGTTTTCGGAAAGTACAAAAGAACAGCTGGACGGAGAGAAAACGGCTGCCTACCTCACAACGTTACGATCGACCACAACACGTGCGGGGTGGGATAGATACCGAGAGTTGAADAGGGAAGCGAGACGCATTTGCAGACAGAAAAATAAAGAGGCCGAAATGCGTGAGTATGAAGAGCTTGATAAGCTGGCCTACAGGGGTAGGCTCGAAAATTCAACGAAAAAATGCGGCGGCTTACAGAAGGTTTCAAGTCCGGAGCATACTCTTGTAGAACCCC